CCCAAACCAAAACGACGGACCGGACGGTGAGCAAACCCTCCAGGGCACTCAGGGGGCGGCCTCAGCTCCCAGGGCTCTGAGGGGCGACGTCCACCTGCCGATGGAGAACCCAGCGGAGCCCTGTCTGGTTTGCTCAGTGGTCAGCGCGTTGGCCCTCAGTCTGAAGGGTCTTGGGTTCAATTCCTTTTTATTTCGGGTTCAATTCTTGTCAAGGGCATGTACCTCAGCTGTAGGCTTGAGCCCTGGCCCTGGTTGGAGTGTGTGCTGGAGGCAGCCAGTGGATGTGTCTCCCTCACATTGATGTTTCTCTCTCTCCCCTCCCTCCCACTCTCTAAAAATCAATGGAAAACTATCCTCAGGGGAAGATGAACCAAAAACCCCAAACAATCCAGCGGAGCTGCGGCCGCCGCCCAGGGCAAACCCCAGGGCTGAGGGTGTTGAGGCTCAGTCCTGAAGCCCCTCTGCTCTCTGCCTGGAGTGTATGTGTGCGTGCAGCCAAGTGCGCCTGCATGTGCATGTGTGAGCATGTACAGGTATACATGCACACACACGTGAACATGAACAGGTGTGTATAGACACGTGTGAGCGCGCACAGGCACGCACACGTGTCTGCATGTGTAGATATACACACGTGTGCACACAAGCTGTGTGTACATACACACGTGTGTGCATATAGCTGTGTATGTGAGATCAGGACTTGAGCTGCACCAGCGGGCATTGGAGGGGCCCAAGTTGCCACACAGCACGGTGGGGTGCTGACCCCTGGGTGCCAGATGGGAGGGGTGGAGTGACCCCCTGAGACAGGGCTTTGGGTTGCAGGTGAATAGACGCCGAGGCCCCAGTGGTCAGCAAGGGACTGGCCCTGACTCCTCCCCTCGCCCCGAATGGGCCCCTGGTGCTCGGCGCTCAGCCCTGTGTCTCCCGGGGTCCCACGCACGCACTGCCTGGGAGCAGGAGAGCAGGCCCATCTTCGTGCAGACAGACAGCAGGTAAGTTTTCCTAGTGGGCGGCTGTGGGAGGGCAGCACCATGGTCACTGTGGCCACTGCAAAGGGCCAGCCCACAGGAGGGTCATCCTGCAGGAGGGCCAGGTGACAGACGCCGGGCACGTCCTGGGGCGGGCACGGCAGGACGGCCTGGTTGCCACACACGCTCCCTCAGGAAACACCCCTCCCAACCTGCAAGCAAGCGAGGACGGACGAAGGACAAGAGCTGTGGCCGCTTTATTGGAAGCACAGCCAGTTCCCCTGGAGCGGGCAGTGAGGCCGTGGTTTGGCCCAAGAGGGAGGCTCCCCGCGGCCAGGCGGGGGCAGGAAACACGTGGCCTGCAGCGGGCGGGACGGGAGCTCTGCCAGGCTCTGGGCCCTGGTGGAAAAACAGGCAGCGTCCGGGCCGAGGGCAGCTGGGCTGGCACCTGGTGGGGCCTGTGGCCCTAGGAGAG